GGGGTAAAATCAGGGGATTTTGGGGCCACTCACAGCATCGGTGAAGGCGTCGACGTTCTGCTCCTCGTGGGCATCCAGCAGCTTCTGGGGGAGGAGGAAGAGGAGGAGGAGGAAGAGGAGGAAGAGAAGGGGGAGACCTCCCCGAACCTCCCAAAATCCCTCAAAACTCCCCCAAAATCCCTCAAAATCCCCCCCTGAGCTCCAGGGAAGAGATTTGGGGACGATCCTGGACCCGATTCCAACGGAGAGAGGAACAGGAAGGAGGAGGAGGAGGAAGAAGAGAAGGAGGAAGAAGAGGAAGAAGGGGAAGAAGAGAAAGAAGAAGAGGAGGAAGAGGAGGGGCAGCCCCCCTCTGAGCTCCCAAAATCCCCCCAAATTCCCTCCTGGATCCAGGAAACGGAGCTGGGGACGATCCCACATTCCAGAGGGAGGAAAAGAAGGAAAAGGAAGAAGAGAAGGAAGAAGAAAAGGAGGAGGAGGAAGAGGAGGAAGAGGAGGAGGAGGAGGAAGAGGAGGGGCAGCCCCCCCTCGAGCTCCCAAAATCCCCCCGAATTCCCCCCCTGGATTCAGGGAATGGAGCTGGGGACGATCCCACATTCCAGAGGGAGGGACAGGAAAAGGAGGAAGAAGAAAGAGGATGAGGAAGAAAAGGAGGAGGAGGAAGAGGAGGAGGAGGAAGAGGAGGGAGAGACTCCCCTGAACCTCCCCAAATCCCTCAAAACTCCCCCAAAATCCCCCCCTGGCTCCAGGGAAGAGATTTGGGGAGGATTCCACATTCCAGAGGGAGGAAGAGGAGGAGGAGGAAGAAGAAAAGGAGGAAAAGGAGGAGAAGGAAGAGGAGGATGAGGAAGAGGAGAAAGGCTGACCTTGAGCAGTTTGCATTCCCGGGAGTCGGAGAAGGCCGGGAACATCTCCTCGTATTTCTGCACGGCCAGCTGGGAACACACATTCCACAACATTCCCAAACATCCCAACCATTCCAACCCATTCCCAACCATTCCTGACCCATCCAGTCCCATTCCCAACCCATTCCCAGTTCATCCTGACCCATCCCAACCCATCCAGCCCCATCCCAACCATATCCAACCCATTCCTGACCCATTCCCAACCCATTCCCAGTTCATCCTGATCCCTTCCCAACCCACCCAGCCCCATTCCCGACCATTCCCAACCATTCCTGACCCATCCCACCCATCCCAACCGATTCCTGACCTGCTCCCAGTTCACCTCGACCCATCCCAACCCATTCCTGACCCGTTCCCA